TATCCACCACCACCATTATCCACCACCACCATTATCCACCACCACCATTATCCACCACCACCATTATCCACCACCACCATTATCCCTCACCACCATTATCTACCACCACCTTATCCACCACCACCATTATCCACCACAACCATTATCCCTCACCACCATTATCCACCACCACCATTATCCACCACCACCATTATCCACCACCACCATTATCCACCACCACCATTATCCCTCACCACCATTATCCACCACCACCATTATCCATCACAACCATTATCCTCCCCACCATTATCCACCACCACCATTATCCCTCCCCACCATTATCCACCACCACCACCATTATCCACCACCACCATTATCCATCACAACCATTATCCCTCACCACCATTATCCACCACCACCATTATCCACCAACACCATTATCCACCACCACCATTATCCATCACAACCATTATCCTCCCCACCATTATCCACCAACACCATTATCCACCACCACCATTATCCATCACAACCATTATCCCTCCCCACCATTATCCACCAACCATTATCCTCCCCACCATTATCCACCACCACCACCATTATCCACCACCACCATTATCCATCACAACATATCCTCACCACCATTATCCACCACCACCATTATCCACCACCACCATTATCCACCTCATCTCCAATTACGCAAAAATCATAAACTTTCTTAAACTATAAATAATGTTGTTTGTATTTTGATCGTCAATGACAACAGAGATGGTTTATTAGGTTTTACGTGACACAGATGAGACGAGCGACTAGTGTCAGTAACGAAGACTTAGGTGACACATAACACAGTGGGCGACGTGTCATGTGGTTTGGTTGTGTCATAAAACTGTGTCGAGAGAGAGAGAGAGAGAGAGAGAGAGAGAGAGAGAGAGAGAGAGAGAGAGAGAGAGAGAGAGAGAGAGGGGCGGTGATAAAATAAATCCATGTCACACAACAACCAAGTGACAGCGTGACAACATGTAACTGTCACGATGTCACAACACACAAGACACATTACCCCAGTCACCTAATAGAGTGGGAGGTACAGAAGTAGGCGAGTCTTAAGTACAGCAACAGTCAAAGTCCCACATAACTGGCTCCCGACACACACACACACACACACACACACACACACACACACACACACACACACACACACACACACACACACACACACAACTTAACTACTATATAGATAACATTCAAGATAACGCTGAAGTATTATGCTGACGTGTGATGGCTGATGCTAACAACAGCCTGACAGATCATAGTTATCACCCAGGTCACTACTGAGGGTGCGGGAGAACGTGAGGAATCGGGGCCAAGTAGTGTGAGGAGAGAGAGAGAGAGAGAGAGAGAGAGAGAGAGAGAGAGAGAGAGAGAGAGAGAGAGAGAGAGAGAGAGAGAGAGAGAGCCTGACTGGCGTGGTAACTGCTCGTTCATCATAATAATATTGGTGGTAATTTAAATACTTCCGCCACCACTACCAGAGCGACACACACACACACACACACACACACACACACACACACGCACACACACACACACACACACACACACACACACACACACACACACACACACACACACACACACACACACACACACATGTAAGAAAACAAACAGTTGCCTTCTAACTTGTTAAAACTTTTCCTGGATACTGTGAGGGAGACGGGACGATGAGAGGAGAGGGAAGGGAGGGAGGGAAGGGAAGGAGGGAAGAAGGTTTTAGGACGTAGTAACCCTTTACACGACTTCACTCGTTACCAATGCCACCACAACACTGGTCAGCTGATCCTCCTGTACTGTTCACACCACCTCCTGGGAGACACTATCTATCTATCTATCTATCTATCTATCATTCTATGTCTGTATCTATCTATCTGTCTATCTATCTATCTATCTATCTATCTGTCTTCTCTTCCTGTCTGTCTTCTCTTCCTGTCTGTCTTCCTTCCTGTCTGTCTGTCTGTCACACCACACACACCTGAGCGGCTGCCACGACACATACTCTCACGTGTGCCTCACCTGTCACCCCACATACCTATCAGGACACCGCTAGATGGTACTGGTATGCGTCGCAAAAACTGTTAGGACATCACCTGCGTGTCCTAAATGACCCCCATCCCTTACTATTATAGCTGTTTAGGACTTTGTTTTTCCGTCTTGCCCTGTTACAACCATTAGGACATTCTTTCACCGTTTATAGTGTCCTTTTATTGTCCCACACACACACATTAGGACATCACCTGTGTCCTAAATGACCTTATCTCTCACTATGATATCAATTAGGACATTGTTTCACCGTCTACGTGTACCCGTCACGTACACACACACATTAGGACATCACCTCACCGTTTTTAGATCATTTAACTGTCCCTATACCGTCTTATGAGCCATTTGTGTCTTCTCTCAAAACACAGGTGTGGAGCAGGAGTGTTGTAGGCTAATTAATGACTTCCCACCTGTCCTGAACACCTGTCACCTGCTCACTCAGCTCCCCCTAAAAAATATATCGCGTGAAGTTAATTTTATCTTCGGTTAAAATACATTACATTACATTATTTACAAAGTCTTTCTTATCTAAGTGTAATAGAACAGCCTGAACATTACCTCGAGGTTATAACCGAAGATTAACCAATAACTACTCTAACGCTAACCTAACCTAACCTATCCTAACCTAACTCCTTCAGGGTGTCTAATCATCAGATAAAATAAGGTTAATCTCCAAGGCAATCTGTTATTTGATAAACAGGTCATCTAATGCCAGTACAGACAGCCACCAATACTGAAGCCATTAAAAGCCATTCAGTTAACTATCTTTACAGTGTAGTCAGTTTAGTTGCATTCGGACACATCGATTTCAGGGGACAATTATATTAAATTTTCCTGGTAAATAAAAATTAAAGAAATTTTTTTAAGAAAAATGACTCAGAAATTTTCCGTTTACACAACCCGAAGTGTCAGCTGTGGTTTACTGCCCTATCCAGGGACACAGCTATACTCTGGGACACAGCTATACTCTGGGACACAGCTATACTCTGGGAACCACAGCTATACTCTGGGACACAGCTATTACTCTGGGACACGGTTATACTCTGGGACACAGCTATACTCGGACACAGCTATTACTCTGGGACACAGTTATACTCTGGGTGTGTCTGGGACACAGCTATTACTCTGGGACACAGCTATACTCTGGGACACATATACTCTGGGACACAGCTATACTCTGGGACACAGCTATACTCTGGGAAGCTGTCTTCTCTGGGGACACAGCTATACTCTGGGACACAGCTATACTCTGGAACACAGCTATACTGGACGGCTATAATCTGGGACACAGCTCTGGGACACAGATATACTCTGGGACACAGCTATACTCTGGGACACAGCTATACTCTGGGACACAGATATACTCTGGGACACAGCTATACTCTGGGACATAGCTATTACTCTGGGACACGGTTATACTCTGGGACACAGCTATTACTCTGGGACACAAGTTATACTCTGGGACACGGCCTATCTCTGGGACACAGCTATTACTCTGGGACACAGCTATACCTCTGGCAGGCTATACTCTGGGACACAGCTATACTCTGGGACACAGCTATACTCTGGGACACGGTTATACTCTGGGACACAGCTATACCCCGGACACGGCTACACTCTGGGACACAGCTATACCCTGGACAGCTATACCCCGGGACACAGCTATACCCCGGGACACAGCTATTAATAATACATGATACTGCACTACAGTACACATTCCACACACATACACACGTCCCTAATGTTACCTGGTGTGTACGTTAATGACTGAGGCGATCAATCATTATCACCTGTGTGGACACCTGGGCACGTGCACAGGTGTTGCTATTTTGAAACACTTTTTTCAGGAGAACACTTGATGAACCTCCACCCTATCTAACCTAACCTAACCTAACCTAAACGAACACTAATCTAGCCTAACCTAACACTAACGTAACCTAACCAATCCTATCCTAAATTCATCAAACACTAACCTAACTCTAATCTAACCTAACACTAATCTAACTCTAACCTAACCTAACCTACCCAGACTAAACACTTGACTTAATCTGCTTAAGGTGAGTCAGATTAGAAATAGGTTCAGGTGACTCAGATTAGAAATAGGTTCAGGTGACTCAGATAGAAATAGGTTCAGGTGACTCAGATTAGAAATAGGTTCAGGTGACTCAGATTAAAAATAGGTTCAGGTGACTCAGATTAGAAATAGGTTCAGGTGACTCAGATTAGAAATAGGTTCAGGTGACTCAGATTAGAAATAGGTTCAGGTGACTCAGATTAGAAATAGGTTCAGGTGACTCAAATTAGAAATAGGTTCAGGTGACTCAGATTAGAAATAGGTTCAGGTGACTCGGTGAAACTTAATACTTGGTTAATAAATACGAAAATTTAGTCTCATACAAACTACAAGAACACGCAAACACACAAACAAATACACAAATATAAGCAAACAAACAAATACATTAATAAACCCCAAATGAAATGAGATAAAAGGTGAAGGAAGGAAAGGAGAGAACAGTAATAAACGTGGTGGATAAGAAATATGATGAGAGAATTAACAAGGGCTGATAAACGGGGAGATGTGAAGTGACGATGATGATGGTGGTGATGGTGGTGATGGTGGTGGTGATGATGATGATGATGATGGTGGTGCATGAATGGAGGGAGGAGGAGGAGGAGGAGAATCGGAGGCAAGATGAGGAAGGGAGGAAGGGAGTAGTAGGAGGAGGAGGAGACTTGGAAAGAAACGTGTGCAATAAGTGGTGAGCAGGTTAATTGCAGGTAAAGGTGGTGAGTGAGTGAGTTTAGTAGAGAGCCTTACATATAACACCGTGGTATAGGTTGGGTAATACTACTGTGGTAAAAATCCGCAAGTCACCACCGCTGTGTTGGCCCAAGGTCAGAGCAGCTCAGCCCACCGCAGCCTCCACTACCTCTTGCCTTGGTCCACTACCTCCTCCTTGGTCCACTACCTCCTGTGGTCCCTACCTCCTGCATGGTCCACCACCTCCTGCCTTGGTCCACTACCTCCTGCCATGGTCCACTACCTCCTGCCTTGGTCCACTACCTCCTGCCATGGTCCACTACCTCCTGCCATGGTCCACTACCTCCTGCCTTGGTCCACTACCTCCCTGCCATGGTCCACCTCCTGCCATGGTCCACTACCTCCTGCCATGGTCCCTACCTCCTGCCTTGGTCCACTACCTCCTGCTGGTCCCTACCTCCTGCCATGGTCCACTACCTCCTGCCTTGGTCCACTACCTCCTGCCATGGTCCCTACCTCCTGCCTTGGTCCACTACCTCTGCCATGGTCCCTACCTCCTGCCTTGGTCCACCACCTCCTGCCATGGTCCACCACACCTCCTGCATGTCCACTACCTCTGCTTGGTCCACTACACCTCCTGCCATGGTCCACTACCTCCTGCCATGGTCCCTACCTCCTGCCATGGTCCCTACCTCCTGCCTTGGTCCACTACCTCCTGCCATGGTCCTACCTCCTGCCTGCCACCTGCCATGGTCACCTCCTGCCTTGGTCCCCCACTACCTCCTGCCTTGGTCCACTACCTCCTGCCTGGTCCTACCTCCTGCCTTGGTCCCTACCTCCTGCCTTGGTCCACTACCTCCTGCCATGGTCCACTACCTCCTGCCTTGGTCCACTACCTCCTGCTGCAGTCCACTACCTCCCTGCCTTGGTCCACTACCTCCTGCTGTGGTCCCTACCTCCTGCCTTGGTCCTACCTCCTGCCATGGTCCCTACACCTCCTGCCTTGGTCCCTACCTCCTGCCTTGGTCCACTACCTCCTGCCTTGGTCCACTACCTCCTGCCTTGGTCCCCACTGCCTCCTGCCATGGTCCACTACCTCCTGCCATTGGTCCACTACCCCCTGCCTTGGTCCCTCTGCCATGGTCCCTACCTCCTGCCATGGTCCACTACCACCTCCTGCCTTGGTCCACCTGCCTGCAGTCCACTACCTCCTGCATGGTCCACTACCTCCTGCCTTGGTCCATTACCTCCTGCCTTGGTCCACCACCTCCTGCTGGTCCACTCTGCATGGTCCCTACCTCCTGCCATTGGTCCCACTACCTCCTGCCATGGTCCACACCTCCTGCCTTGGTCCCTACCTCCTGCGGTCCTACCTCCTGCATGGTCCCACCTCCTGCCTTGGTACTACCTCTTGCCTTGGTCCACTACCTCTGCAGTCACTACCTCCTGCCGGTCCATCATCTCCCCCCCTTGGTCCACCATCTCTTCCTTGGTCCACCATCTCTCCCCTGGTCCACCATCTCTTCCCTTGGTCCACCATTCCCCTTGGTCCACCTCTCTCCTCCGGTCCACCATCTCTCCCCTTGGTCCACATTCCCCGGTCCACCATCTCTTGGTTCACCATCTTCCCCCAGTCCACCATCTCTCCCCTGGTCCACCATTCCCCCTTGGTCCACCATCTCTCCCCCTTGGTCCACCATTCCCCCTTGGTCCACCATCTCTTCCATGGTTCACCATCTTCCCCCGTCACCATCTCTCCCCCTGGTCCACCATTCCCCTTGGTCCACCATCTCTCCCCCTGGTCCACCATTCCCCTTGGTCCACCATCTTTCCCTAGACCACCATCTTCCTCCGGTCCATCATCCTCCCAGTCCACCATCTCTCCCCTGGTCCACCATTCCCCTTGGTCCACCATCTTTCCCCTAACCACCATCTTCCTCCAGTCACCATCTCCCCTGGTCCACCATTCCCCTTGGTCCACCATCTCTCCCCCAGTCCACCATCTCTCCTGGTCCACCATTCCCCCTTGGTCCACCATCTTCCCTAGACCACCATCTTCCTCCGGTCCACCATCTCTCCCCTGGTCCACCATTCCCCTTGGTCCACCATCTTTCCCCTAGACCACCATCTTCCTCCGGTCCACCATCTGCCCTCTTGGTCCACCATCTCTCCCCCAGTCCACCATCTGTTACTGAATACTCATAAATATTTTAATGTATCTTCCTTCCAGAGCTTCTATTCCAGGAACCTCCCCCTCCCCCATGATTCCTTCCAAGCATTCCCGTCCTCAGAATTCCCCCAGTGACCCATTTCAGAATTCTAAGACACAGGATTTTTCAGAGCATCTTAAGATTAACCCCCCTTGCTGATTCCACCTTACGATTAACCATCCTAACCTAAACCTAACCTAAACCTAACCTAACGTAACGTAACGTAACCTAACCTAACCTAGCTCCCCAGACCCCTCTAAAATTCGCTGGATGACCGAAACGATAATAATACCACCTAACGTAACGTAACGTACAGTAACGTAACGCAACGTAACCTAACCTAAGCAAACTTTACCTTACCTTACCTAATGTAACCTGATATAAACTAACCAAACCAGACGAAACAAAACCAAACGAAACCAAACCAGACGAAACGAAACCAAATCATACCAAACCTAACCTAACCAAATTAAAAATCCCAGTACCTTAAAAATATATAAAATAATTCACACGTACTCGAACACTTTTTACCAGCAGCTTAAAGTTCATTTGGAAAAACACTTAAACATGGCGTAAACAGTTCAGGGTTTCAGGGACAGACTCAGGCTCTTTGATGGGGTGTGACGGCGGGAAATACCCAAATCACTGGTTCAGGGTCATGTGAGATACTTTGAGGTCATGTGGGGAGCTCTGAGGTCATATAGGGAGCTCTGAGGTCATGTGAGGAGCTCTGAGGTCATGTGTGGAGCTCTGAGGTCATATAGGGAGCTCTGAGGTCATATAGGGAGCTCTGAGGTCATGTGAGGAGCTCTGAGGTCATGTGAGATGCTTTGAGGTCATGTGAGGAGTTATGAGGTCATGTGAGGAGGTCTGAGGTCATGGGAGGAGGTCTGAGGTCAGGTGAGGTGCTTTGAGGTCATGTGAGGAGCTCTGAGGTTATGTAAGGAGCTCTGAGGTCATGTGAGGAGCTCTGAGGTCATGTGAGGAGCTCTGAGGTCATGTGAGGAGCTCTGAGGTTATGTAAGGAGCTCAGCGGTCATGTGAGGAGCTCTGCGGTTATGTAAGGAGCTCTGAGGTCATGGGAGGAGCTCTGAGGTCAAGTGAGGAGTTCTGAGGTCAAGTGAGGAGTTCTGAGGTCAGGTGGAGGCCTTCGAGTGTTTAAATGAAAGGTTTTGGGATTAGATGTGTGAAATCATAACTGGTGTTAAACCATGGCCCCAGGGTCAAATAAAGGGCCCATTAGGACGGGGGCCCATTAGGACCTTCAAAGCTATAATATAACTAAATTGAATGAAGACTGGACAAAGTCCCACTAGGACTGGGGTCTATTAAGACGGGGGGGGGGAGGGGGGGATGGGTGGGTGGGCTCATCTGACAAGTCATCCTGAAAGGCTAATATGTGTTCCCAAGGACAACCCACACCTCCTGCCGTGAGCTACATGAGATAAATACCCTCACTAATTTGCTCCCTTAATATGGCTCCACCCGTAAGACAACTCCCCGACCATGCCAGCCTCCAGAGAGCATCCTGGAGACCGCTGGTAAACAAACAACACTGCCAGGCGTATGATTAACACTTCAATTATTTTTTTTTCTTCTCAGTTTTCCAGTTAACGTCGAGGTCTGTATGTTCCTCTCCATCATCACACGTAGATAACATCCAATATGGCGGTTAAGTTACACCGATACTCTACCTTGACTAGATACGTTCACTTCAAAAGGAGTTTATGTCTGTTAAAGGTTAATATTAACGTGAAGAATATTTACTGGATTATTTGAGGATAATGGTGAAGGTGACAGTGAACATGAGGGTGAACAAAGAAATGAAGGTGATAGTGAACATGAGGGTGAACATGATGATTAACAAAGAGATGAAGGTGACAGTGAACCATGAGGGTGAACAAAGAAATGAAGGTGATAGTGAACATGAGGATGAACAAAGAAATGAAGGTGATAGTGAACATGAGGGTGAACATGATGATGAACAAAGAGATGAAGGTGACAGTGAACCATGAGGGTGAACAAAGAGATGAAGGTGACAGTGAACATGAGGGTGAACAAAGAAATGAAGGTGATAGTGAACATGAGGGTGAACATGATGATGAACAAAGAGATGAAGGTGACAGTGAACATGAGGGTGAACAAAGAAATGAAGGTGATAGTGAACATGAGGGTGAACATGATGATGAACAAAGAGATGAAGGTGACAGTGAACATGAGGGTGAACAAAGAAATGAAGGTGATAGTGAACATGAGGGTGAACATGATGATGAACAAAGAGATGAAGGTGACAGTGAACATGAGGGTGAACAAAGAAATGAAGGTGATAGTGAACATGAGGGTGAACATGATGATGAACAAAGAGATGAAGGTGACAGTGAACATGAGGGTGAACAAAGAAATGAAGGTGATAGTGAACATGAGGGTGAACATGATGATGAACAAAGAGATGAAGGTGACAGTGAACATGAGGGTGAACAAAGAAATGAAGGTGATAGTGAACATGAGGGTGAACATGATGATGAACAAAGAGATGAAGGTGACAGTGAACATGAGGGTGAACAAAGAAATGAAGGTGATAGTGAACATGAGGGTGAACATGATGATGAACAAAGAGATGAAGGTGACAGTGAACATGAGGGTGAACAAAGAAATGAAGGTGATAGTGAAGACGACATCACAGGACATTGAACAGTGGCCAAAAGAAGGGATAGTGAGGAGGAGTGAGGAAGGTGCTGAAGGATGACCCACACACACACACACATCCATCCGTCCATCCTCCTGTCCCACACTGTTCCTGACCCACACCGTCTCCCCTGGCTCCCCACACTGTTCCCCTGCCCTCACACTGTTCCACCGGCCCCACACTGTTCCCTGACCCACACTGTTCCACTGACTCCACACTGTTCCACACACCAGACCCACACCGTTCCTCTGACCTACACCGTTCCACCTGACTCACACTGTCTCCACTGACTCCACACTGTTCCACCTGACCTTACACTGTTCCACTGACCTTTTACACTGTCTCCACTGGACCCACACTGTTCCAGCACTGACCCACACTGTTCCACTGGACCCTACACCGTTCCCTGCTCCTTACATCTCTGCCTTACACTGTTCCACTGGACCTTACACTGTTCCACTGACCTACACTGTTCCCCTGCCCTTGCCACCGTTCCCTGCCCTACACTGTTCCTCTGACCTTACACACTGTTCCCTGCCCTACACTGTTCCTTGACCTACACTGTCTCTCTGCCTCTACACTGTTCCTCTGCCCTACACTGTTCCACTGGACTCCACTGTCTCCACTGACCTTACACGTTCCACTGACCTTACACTGTCTCCACTGACCTTTACACTGTTCCCCTGCCTCTACAGCACTGTCTCTGCCCCACACTGTTCCCTGACCTACACTGTCTCTGCCCTTACACTGTTCCTGACCTTACACTGTTCCTCTGCCCTTACACTGTTCCCCTGCCTCTTACACTGTTCCACTGACCTACACTGCTCCCTGACCTACACTGTTCCCTGCCCTTACACTGTTCCTCTTGACCTTACACTGTTCCCCCTGCTCCTTACACTGTTCCCTGCCTTACACTGTTCCAATGACCTTACACTGTTCCACTGACCTTACACTGTTCCCCTGCCCTTACACTGTTCCTCCACTGACCTTACACTGTTCCCCTGCCCTTACATTGTTCCTCCACTGACCTTACTAGCACCTACTCTGTCCCCTTCCAAACATATATACGACGCTGTAAGTTGGACAGAAAGACAGAAGGTGATTTTTAGACAGAACCAAACGATGAACTTTTTTAGACAGGCACACGAACAAGGTTTAAGACAGGCACACGAACAAGGTTTAAGACACACACGAACAAGGTTTAAGACACACACGAACAAGGTTTAAGACACACACGAACAAGGTTTAAGACACACACGAACAAGGTTTAAGACACACACGAACAAGGTTTAAGACACACACGAACAAGGTTTAATTCAGACACACGAACAAGGTTTAAGACACACACGAACAAGGTTTATGACAGG